CATGTGATTTATTTACCACAGTGTGCTTCAAAAGCTACGTTGCAAAATCATATAAGTTGGTGCAATATTTTTGAACATTCCATTAAACTATGTAGGGCTATAGATAATTTAGCAGATGAGTTTTATTTACGTAGACGTAAAAAACTTTTAAACATGATCACCTTATGCACACAACGAGTATGGTTGATTACCATACTGGTACTTATACTTAGATTACCAAATCAGTGGGCATCAAATCTCGTTTTTGAAGTAGCTCGAGGTTTTTTGGTGATTTATCACATTGTTTTTTCTTTCTAGATACCCTCAATTGGATTTATATCCGGAAATCTCGTTTGCCACATTAAATGAGCTAACGAATTAGCTAAATAGTTTGCTATTAAAGAAAATCATAAACCAGATAGATATTCCGTGTGATCATGTAAATATCAAAACCGAATATGCAACACTCAGGAAAAACTTTATAGAATAGTTTAGTTGAAAAGTATGTATATTTCACGGCCTAATTTTGCAAACAAAATGAAAAATCCATAATGGCCTTTGCTCACCTGATGTAAAGCGAAGTATAATACATAGAGTGTTGTTCTCTCTATAGGTTCGACGAGAATCATTTACACTAAATTAAGACTGTATAATTTTGTTCCATGATGTGCAATCCGGTGCACTTATGCAAAGAAAAAGTCGTCTTATCTTTTTAAGTGTGAAAGAAAAACAAAAACCACTGGTTTCAAACACAGGCTTCTTTGGAAATCAATAATTTTGTCGTTCTTTTAACTCGGTTATAAAAAAAGTAACTGTCATTTTATGAATAATTACAATTAATGCCAAATAACGGTCATCATTCGCGGATGATTCTGAATTGAACTAGAAATGCAAGTCATCTCAGACTTGTATTTCTAGTTTCAAATTTTAAAAACATCTTGAGAGCATGTATATGGAAAAACACTTTAAAGCAATTGAAACTTCGACTTTAGTTTGGCCTGTTTCTAACATGTCAACATGTTTTTAAGATTAGGTCTAACTATACAGTTTCTATATACCATTTCAGAAAACTTGATAAACTTTTCATTTAATTTTACAAAATACACTGCAACAAAACTCTAGTCAGAAATGGCAACTAAAACCTTTTCACCCTAGAAGCTTGTTAATCCGGCCATTCCTTTCACAGCGGAGTGCCAGATTAGCGTGTGTGTATGTAGGAAATGAATGATGTGACCTGTACTGATCCTTTTTTGCAACTGTACAGTTATATAAAGTGATTAAATTTAATAAAGAATTAATTGTATGTTACAAGTTTACTGTTTATATTTAAAAAACACGAATAAAAAGGGAAACAAATTATAATGGGAGATAACTGACGGCCGGATTAGCAAGAGTGTACTGAAATATACATACACATCTATAATTTATTCTGTTAATGAAGGAAAAAAAATTCAAACAAAATGTTTTATAAAATAACTTTATTTTTGAAAAGTTTTTAACCGATTTTTATAGTAATAAAAATCATAAAAAATAATTTATATCAATAACATAACTATAATTTTTTATTTATTGCAACAAGAGCAATATTTTCCAGCGATACAGCAGGTTCCACGTAACATATTAATTTTGCATCGTAATTATGATCTATGAGATACCGCATTCTGCCATAATCTAACAATCTTTTGCATTGCCGGCCAATTTCTTCTCTGCAATCTGCGTCTAAATTCATTCTTCTATACCTGAATAATTATTTTAATATATTATAGATAAATTTATTATTATATTGACACATTCTTAATTTTCATGGATATAAATCTAATTAAACATTATGTTACGTTATCAAAAATTTCCATTAATTACTGTTATTCGCATAATTAAACACAGTAAAACCTATGTAAAACGGGACAGCACGGTATTGAATTTTTTCTGTTTATGTCAGGTTTCTGGCTTATTCGGGTCACGAGTTTCTGCCAAATAAATAAATAATAATAATAAAATAGTAAATGCTAATAACGAGTAAAATCGTTAAATCCGACCCTACTCGAGATGCGACACGCGACCTTCTTTATCTCCTCGCCCCGTCGACCTTTAACCACCGAAATTTAATACGGGGTAGCGTCGATGCCCGTAATACGCCAACCTCCTCCTAAAATTTCAGAATTTTTCCACCAGCACAAAAATTATATTATTAAGCTTCAAAGAGGGCGAACAAAACCGTACTCCTGGCGCTTACACACAGGCTAACATCCGCATATACAGAAAAAACTGCCAATTTTTTTTTGTATTCGTTTCGGAGATCCGAGTCCAAAAAAGCAAAAATCTCGCGGGGTCATTTTTTACCGACTGCCGTACTTTCCCTCCGTTATGTATACGACAGAGCCGGGAAAGTAAAACACCGTTACGAGACTTTGGTGTTTCTTTCGTGTGACGAATTCGAAGTTTGAGGTAAATTTCTTAATTTTGAACGCGCCAGAATTCGCTCGTATAACTAATCCGAGGGATTTGATTTTCGGCCAATCGAAAGAATTTCTAAAATGGCCCGAATTAATACAGTTAAACCCGTCCAAAATGGAGCCAGAATAAAAGAGAAAAAACGTTCTTCGGAACAGCGGAACACCCGTCGAACCGGAAAAAAACGTTCGGTACCGAAGGATTCCGGTTTACGCAGGTTTTACCGTATATTAAAGAAACTCGGTGGTTGTTCCCAACGATAAAACTGTCGATAGAAAAGCGCTACTTACGGGGCCACTCTCTCATTATAGACTACGTAAGAACACCGTAGTTACTAGATAATACGGTTTGGGAGGCTAATCGGCGAGAGTCGTGTATTTTTAAAGTGTTTTTGTACCGTTTTTAGTTATTTCGGTTTCATTTTTTAAGTGTTTTGAAATAGGCGATTATCGATTCGGTTTTAGATCGTCCGTGTTTAAAGAGACGAGGCGGACTTTTACGAAAGGCCACGTAAATTTGGAATGGGCGGACTTGGAGCGAGTGGCTATAACCGAAAAGTTGTTGATTTTTACATCAGTCGCGGATTGCGCATTTTTGCGAGATGCTGGAAAACGCCACGCTAAATCAGTCCCACTTACGTTAAATTACATAGTTTCCAACAACGGGAACTACGACTCATTTATGCAATTTTGACGTTATAGGGTAAGCCAGTGGGTGAGATACTTTTTATAATATTTTCCATGCCGTGTCTAAATAATATATACCAGGATACTCGTAGCCGTGTGGGATTTTTTTATCCTATGTGTTCGACTCGAGTCTACCGAATATTAAAAAGCCTCGAAAAGAAACTTGCAAAATTTTAAAAAAATACTGTATAACCGATATTTTAAAAATAAAACCCTCCTACCGTAAGTCGGTCTACGTGGGTGTTGTAGACTAGTGGTCCCCAACCCCCGGGCCGCGGACCGGTACCGATCCGTGGATCAAATGGTACCGGGCCGCCCAAGGAACATTAAATTACTGGTATTTCCATTTTATTTACTATGGTATATTTCTCTCGGGTTTGTGCGACTTTTAATGGACGACGGAACAACGGAATANTGTTTTCTCAATTTTTTCCAAAAATGGACTTACATCACTTTCAAAATAAACGGTCCATATAGTTACCGCGCCGCCAGGTAATTTGTCCCCCATGCTGTATTTCGTTAATTCGAGCGTTATACATTCTCGAGCCGATGTTAGTCCGAGGGTCGAAATTAACGGTGCACTAAATCTATAACTTTGAAGTTTTGTCAATCAAAATGATTCGTAAACAATTCATTACATTTCAAAAATATTATAATACATTAGCTTTATACAAATCATCGCGTGTACGCTGTATATTAATAATACATGGGATTGTCAATTTCCAAAACAGAAATCATTTTGGCGGATTTACTCTTCCCATTGGTACGGAATACAATCCTCCTTTTCGGGCCATCTCCAACACTTTGAACCTGGAGAAAATTAAAAATTAAAATGATTCGATAATAAATATAATTTAAAAATAAATAAAATAAAAATGCCTTTGGAAAGAAATTATTTACGTGGATGACAGAGAAGCTAAGAACTGAATTTTAAATCGCCCCAAATCTCGGGCCAAAGTTACTTCGATGTGTGAAGACGTGTAATGAATATTTCTTTATTATCTTTAAAAAAAGATATACGCATTTTTTATTTACATGCAAATGCAAAAAGTTAAAAATTAATTAATTTTGTGATTTTTACTGTTGCCGCTGTTATATAACTGTTAACAACATCTTTTTAATCGCTGTCGGTATGTGTGTAAATTCATCGTAGCGATATATAGCGGGCATGGCTCTACCCCAATTTCGAAAAACATAATTTAGTCTCTTCGGGTGTGTGTGTGTGTGTGTGCGTAAAAGCATCGTAATGATGGATGGGCCACTCCCTCCTCAGCCCCTTTTGCAATAAATTAATTGATAACATTCGATAATCTAATTGATATTAACCGTAATAAACGGGGTGGGTTTAGTATTTATAAAACTAACCGTGCATTTTATTATAAAATTTTAATTATTAATATAAATCTTCCTGTTATTGTTAAATGTAATACTCGTTTTTACCAGCGGAGGCGGATCCACGGGGGATTATAGAGCGGTCCTCCCCATTGACAAAAAAATGTTAAAATTTATTGATTCGAATTCGAAGCGTCGTTTTTAAAAACATTTACGATGACAAATATGGTTTATCGGATGGTCGTGCGGGTGATAATACTAATTCAAAGATTTTTAATTTGTGTGTTAACCGATAAACAATACTGTTCTCTCCTTATTTATTATAATGTAGCGGGAATGGCCAAACTTCATCACGATAAGAGCCGTGCGTCGCCTATCGGAGATACACGAGAGTCGCATTCCCTATTGTAACGGTATACAGTATGTACCGTACTTAAAATACTATAGTTATCACTGCTCTATTGTAAATACCGTTGTCACGTTAGATTAAGGATATTAATGCATCGTTAACTATTGTTTTAAGAGATGTAATGAGATTTTTATTTGTTTTAGATACGGAAAAGTTTTAACAACTTCGATTGGTCGCATCGAAGAACGTATGCCCTTATTTTCTATAAGTATTCCGTCAGCTTTGGAAGAACGATTCCCCCATTTAAGAAAATACTTGAAATTAAATTCCGATCGTCTAACGACGTGGCTGGACGTGCACTCTATGTTAATGGACGTTGTTAAATCTACCTACGAAGAAAGCCCCCCGACACACGTCTGGAACACCAGAGGATACAGCGCGTGGAGGATGGAGATCCCTATAAACAGGACTTGCGAAACGGCCGGAATTGCCGAAAATCATTGCGTGTGCCAAAGCGAAGCTGTAATATCAGCCGACGATCCGAGATGTTTAGAAGCATCCATTATTCTAGTCGAACATTTGAATCAATTATTGGACGATTTTAAGTTATTCTGCGAAAAGCTTCGGTTAATAAAAACTTTACAAGCGTCTGTAAGTATCGATGCCGCTACGCTTTTGTTTTTTTCAATTGAATTTTCCTTAAGCTCATAATTTCATCCAGGTTATTTGTGTTTAGGTAATTTTACCGTGGAAACACCTGGTTCAAAAAGAAGGATACGAATTAAAAATGAGACTGTTAGTTTCATTGGCACCTAGCGATGCGGTAGTAGAAGCTCTGGTGCAGAAAACGGCGTGGTCGAAGCAATTTCGAGTGGTGGGAGACGTTAGCAGACTTAACAAATACGGAAATCAATCGTCTTGCATTCAAGACAGGGAATTGAGGAAATTCTGCTATTGTAAAAGTGAATTTACCAAGTGATATATTTTAAAAATATAATGTAAAGCATTTATACGACACCGTTCAGATACGCAATGGATCCAATATAAACATTCCTCTCCTCATCCCCGACATCCACTCGTCACATTGTTCATTGTCGCGTTTGTTATATATTGTTACGGTTTCACACTTCAGTTAAAATTAAAGTTTATCGACGTTTAAAAATACGTTTATTTAAAAAATTTAATATTTGTTTTATATTATATAATAAAATCGCCGTACAGCGGCTCCCGTGCATTTTGCAAAACCTACATTTCGGCTCCCACCGAACTTTCGCTCGCCCACCCCTGGCATATAATAAAAAGCCGGAATGGTCCGTAACTCCTTAAATGTCGACCGCCAACTACCTACGGAACCGGACCCGTTCGTAGAAAAGCGCTATTGTACACTCCCGTTTTTCGAGATTAGGGGAACGTCCATAAATTACGTAAAAGTATTTTTATACTTCTTCGACCGTCTATCGTTTTACTCTCGTAACGCCGTCGTACGTACTCTTCCTTAAAATTACGTAACGCGTATAAGTACTAAGTAGTGATACGCGGCGCGGTGTACCGAAAGTTACGTTATTCGTTAATTACGAATAAACGCGTACAAAGCGGTGTCGTACACAAATAACACGCGTTACTACGCCATACCTCGGCCACAAAAACGATAAAACTACCGGCGACTTAGCCCCTACGTATTTAACAAACTAAGACTCTCTAGAATTAAGTAACGACGTCGTAAATATTCCCCACCCCCCGTAACGCGGCGTAACCATTACCCGCCGTATCGTAAGTAGGTAGCCCTTACCTCCAGCTGGCTTCGTGGCGTGCCAGAGGCCCGCGGGAACCTTTGAACGGCGAGTTTTTCGCGCTGTTCGGAGGAGACGAAAGGTCGAAGGGGTCCGCGTATGTCTTTCGGTTTGTTTACTTCCTAACTCTTCCGGTAGGCGAAGGGTTTGGTTCGTTGTTTATACCGAATTTTTTCACTACGTTTATCAAACGCGTTAAATCATTATTTTGACGCGACAAATACCAGCGGCTAATTAAGCTCGCTTGCGAAACGGACCGCGCCCTCGGTATTCGATTAGACGTATCGCCATCTGTTGGCCCGTTTCGTGATTAAACGGCTTACTTGATGTCTCGTATCTGTATTTTGAAATTCGCTACCGCCATTTTTCAAAACGTACATGTTAATCCTCTGTTATTTATTTGTTTATAAATGAATTAAGGCCGATTGTTCGAAATGTAACGCTTTTTCTATGGGAAACGGAATCGGGTAGAACAAAACGGCTTTTTCGTTGGAATCCGTTTGAATTCTTCTATAAGATACGATTCGGAATTTTGAAAATCCGAGTCGTTAATGTTTTAAGAATGAAGTTTTGACAATTTTTGCAAAAGAATCTTTCCATAAAAAGAGTATTAAAGCCGCGCTATTCGTCGATAATCCCCAATTATTAGTGCCAAAGCGCAAATATTTTATATTTAATAAGTTTTTACACGACTAGGAATGATGATTTTCTTTTATGCGAATTTACACGTTTTATAGACGGTAGAGACGGAATCGTCGTCGATTAGACACATCTTTTTACGTACAAGTTTAAAATATTTAGAACAATAAAAGTAAATACGACGTTTAAATTTACTTTTCTATTTTAAGACATTGAAAGGCCTGACTAAAGTGGCGGATAACAGTTTCCCCAACATGATCGCTCTGCTAACTGGAAGGAAAGTTCGAATGGTACCGCAAGAACTGCCCGGTAACGAGAGCGCCGGACCGTACGACCATTGGCCATTTATATGGAAGAACTTCAAAAAAGAAGGGTACGTAACGGCATTAACCGAAGACGAGCCAGAATATACCATTTTAAATTATTTATCTAAAGGCTGTCTTCGCAAACCCACCGATTATTACCCGCGACCATTATGGTTGGCTTTATCCGAATCTTCTCTTCTGAAGAAAAGTTCCACCTATTGTCTGGGAAATATTCCCACGTACACGATTTTATTCAATTGGATGAAAGAATTTATAGAAAAATATAGCCGAGAACTGTATTTTCTCTTCTCCTTTTACATCGCCGTTACCCATACGAATTTCAATAACGCTCAATATTTGGACGGGGACGTCTACAATTTGCTCAGAGAATTGAACGAAAACGGACATTTTCGGAACACGGTGGTAATCGTTATGGGCGACCACGGCAATAGGTAAGTACTTTAACTACTCGTAAAACTGCCGTAACGGTACCGCCAGTTGGGGTAACTTTGGCTCGAAACAACAGAAACTGATTAATATTGCGCCAATATTTTTTTTATGTTCGGCACGAAATAGGGAATACACTTAGGTAAACTGTTTAAGTTTTTCGAGTTTTTAAATGCCTTAAAAAATATTGAAAATACCGTGGGAATATGCCAAAGAAATATGGACCGTTTATTTTGAAAGTGGTGTAAGTCCATTTTTTCTTCTTTCGAGATATTTAAACATTTGCATTTTAGTTGATTCAAAAATATAAACAAAGTGTACTAGGTTTGACAATGTTTCTATGACTTTAGAAATATGTAAGTTGATTGCATAAAGACTTCTATGCGAATTTATCCAAACTAATATATTCTTTCTGGGCCATAAATGGACTTACACCACTTTCATAATTACTAAACTGTAAAATTCATTAAATTTCTATTATGTAAAACTCAATGTCACTTGAAACACATTGCGTTTTATTCTGATTTTGTTCATATATAATAACAAGAAATAAAATAGTATTGTTTATTCTGAACATTAAAAATATTTACTTATTGTTAAACTATTTTATGATAAATTTATCATTATTATGAGCTTACCATTAGACACTGCTTTTCATTTAGATTCATTACATGGATTTTTTTCTAGTC